TGATTGTGTTTTATTATTAGTGTGGGCTTAGATTGTAATTAGTGTTGTGTAATTGAAGTATCAATTTTGGTAATTCAATCGGCAGTTTTTAATTGTCTCGAACCCCAAGCTCGTAACATTATTATTGCATATTAAATTATTCATTTGGATATTTAAGTCATGTCTTAATTTATTTTCTTTTGGCAGACCCCATAAGTAAGGCAATGTAAACAAAACAATCTTGTGAACATTTAAATTATTTAGAATTTCAATATAATCCAATAATTGTTTTAAATTCACATTGCCTCTTCTCCCAATAAGAAGTATCAATATACTATTAGGACGATGGCTACTTATTAGAATTATATTTATAATTTGGCTAAATGTTGCTCCAAACATACAAAAATTAGTAATTTGGTGTTCCTTTAGACAGTTATTTAATACTAAACCTAAGTTTTTACCTATATCATCACTGTACACAACAATATTATTTTTGCTAACATTTAAATTATTCAAATTATTTATTGATCTGGAACTGTCATGGAGTTTATAAGTAGGTGAGGGGTTCTTTTTGTCCATATTATTAAAACATACTGTCTCTGAAGTAACCGGTAATGAGCGCTGACACTCACACTGATGTTTTACTTATGACTCAAAACGTTCCTCATTATATTTACACAGTGTCACCAGCTCGTCCATGACCAGAATATGTTCCTTTATTTCGTTATGAGCTAATTTATATTTATTTGTCATAACTTGTAGTGCATTACGAAGTGAAGAAATTTCTGAATTAAAATACTCCATGTCAGTCTCATAACTTTTCCTAATGCTATCCACCTCAATTGAATATATTTTGACCTTATTAATTAATTCTTGTTTTTCTTTACATAACTTAACATGATTTTTAATACTTATTTTATTTTTATGTTTTTTGCAGTTTATTAATGTATTTATTAATTGTAATGTATTTCTTTAATTTATTGTTACTGCAAGCGATTCTTCCTGCTGTTCCAAATATGAATGTATCTTCACCTATCAAATCCACTGTTGATGAAGATTTAACTACGAAATCCTTTATAATACAAGTGTAATCGACGGATAACTCTAATCACGGGTATTAGACGGTCAGCTCTGCGTTATTGTGGAGTTTATTCAAGTACAAAGTAGTCATTTATGATAATATATAATCTGAATTTTTTTATAGCATAGGGTGACAATCGAGCACACACTCCACCTGATGTTAAGTGTATACTGTGGCTCATAGACTGTCTGCATTTATCCTCAATTAAGAATTAAAATACAGATGCGTTGTCACCCCTGAAGACTAAGATGGACCGCTTCGTTTCCAGTAAAAAAGGTCTCTGGTTCACTACACTCACCACACGAAACACTGCAGCTGCTATTTTACGCTGGTATTCTGTGAGAGCGTGGTCCTACCCCGGTCGAGACGACCTATTCGTGCTTCGACCATAATACAGCTGCAGCGTCGCTCTACCACGTTAAAACCTTAGGTTAAATTACCTTTAAAGGTTTAATGAGAGTAAAGTTACTTTAATTAACTTCCCTGAAGAAATTCAATTGTTTTTAACGATGTCGCATCAGCTCGCTTCATTAACAGTTATTTTTGGTCAAGCGTGAGACATCCACCATATTTATTTTATTTCTTTCTGATTTCATTTGAAACCATAACGTTCAGTGACTTTTGAAATCTCAGAGAACTTTACAACATGATTACAATATCACACATTGTATTATTGTGAAGAATTTATTGAACATAATACAAACTAGACTAAGCTGTATTGTTTATGACCGTTGTCTGCCTTGATTGACGAATCGTAACAACAAACAAATAGCATTCACGCCGTGGACAGAGAATCCAATAGGCAGCGTGATATATTTTATTTCATTCACAAAACAAAGGACGCATATATATTATTATTATTTAAAATTATTATTATTATATATCACATTAGCCATAGACTTAGAATATACTGGCGTATAGATCAACATATTGTACAAGGGAGAAGAAAATTCCTTATGGCAATAATGCAAGATAGAAAAGGATACTAAATCTCATGACTCTGTAACCGATTTTGAATGACAGATCGGCACAATTCGGCACGCAAGAAATAGCTCCTAGATATATTTTGTAATTTTTTAAAGTGTAATAGTGGTTATTTTTGTAAGTAACTTTTTTCGAAAATGCTTACTTGTTCAGTGAGTGATTGTGGTGTTAATAATAGAAATAATCCAGATAATTGCACATTTCACAGGTAAATTCTCAAGACGTCATCAATGCTATGACGCGTTTATTCTTGGTTATTTATGTTATATACTGTTTCAAATATAGAACGTTTTCAATTATTTTGTTAATTTTGATATTTTACTAAGAAAAAAGTCATGTTGTTGATAATTTGCATGAATTTGGTAAATACATTTTTATGCAAAATATTTTACACGTACGGTAGGGATTGACTCAACTATATCAAAATTGATGTCGATATTTATCTTGAATGTTTATAATGAATCGATAGACTTGCCTACAAAACAAGAAAATAACTCCTCAGCTTGCGTTCTAAAATGTAATTTTATTTTGCCGTTTGTCAAACAGATTCCCTCCGAATTCTATAATTAGAAAAAATGGTTAAGGTTCATTGGATGGGTTGGTTGTAATGCAAAGATGAACTCAACAATTTGCAGCAAACATTTTCTTGAGAAGTAAAAAAGAAAAAGTAGAATAAAAACAATTTTATAAAAAGATATTGTTATAATAAGACTTATACTGTATAATAAGACTTATGGAACTTAACGTTCAAAACTTTTGATAAATATAGATAAAGGTTGAGATTTAGAATCGTTTGGCAGAAGAGGGGGCAAGAGTGAGGGGAGGGGAGGGGGTGAACGTCCCCTTACTCCCGACACCACTCCCATTAAAAGGTAATACACTGTTCTTAAGAAAAATAATAAGACCTAATCCCAAAATGATAATATTTATCGTCTTTGGTACGAGGGGTGAAAAGGGGAGCAGGAGTGTGCTCTATCAGGGAAAGCCCTCTACCCTTTCCTCCTTGCGGAAAAGTATAGTTTATGAGTAATGGTTTTTTTTTAAATCATAACCTCACTTTTTTTTACACAGGAATATATACCCAAAGTTACTTCTATAACGGCTTCGGCGCAGCAGGGAGTACAGCCCCTTTGCCCTTACGTAGCGTAACCTTGCGTTCTATGCCTACGGCTTTACGAAAACACTCTAGGAGTAGGGCAGACAAGACTACGTGGAGTCGGGGCGTGCTAATTCTATTTAATATAAATGTTATAGTTATTATGTAATAACATACTGCTATAATTTTTATTTATTGCTAAATAATATTGAGAATATGAGCTATTTTACCAGGAAGAAGTAAAAATTACTAAAAATGGGTAACAAATTGATGATATATTGATTTAAGTTTTTAAAAGATGGTGTTGTGCCCATTACAAAAATTGGTAGTACCTAGCTGTCATACAAGTGGGTTAAGGGATTTAATACTAAAACCTGAGACTGAATAGTAGCGTATGTTATTTTTACCTATAAATTTGTATATGTAAAAGAAGCGGAACAGCTTACTGCCACGCACATTACTTATTTATCGTTGTTTTTGAGTCATTGGACGAAGAGTGCGCGTGGTACGCACTTTTCGTCAGAAAACAAAGCGTTTAAAATTAAAAGTGGCATATCTGGAACAAATTCTCGAAGAATTGACGGCCATAGCTCTTGTTAACGAAGAGGATGACAATCTACTTAACTCGATCGATCCTGTCAATAAAGATTTCCTTACATTGCCAATCACAGAATGCTTCCCATTAAAGATGTTGCTTTAAGATATTTTGAAATAAGAATACATCATGAAACCACAAAAATTAGCGAGTCCGTCGAAAAAATTAGGAATATTCATACGAAATTAGTTTCATTTTAAGGACAATAACAATTAAATTGAAATTACTAAGACCTATAAGTGTAATTATTACGATTTTCTTGACAAATAAATGTGTTTTAATATTTGTTATTAATATTACTTATTTGTTTTATTAGCTTTAGTTATACTATCCTAATAACATGTTAATAAACTGGCCTAGAATTCCCCTTCGGCCCTTCACAAATAAAATCTCTCTATTTTGTGGGAGGACATTGCCAAAATGGCAGCACTGTGATGCGTGAATGAAACGCAGAATAGTGTTTACGCGATCCCGCCGTCTATTGGATTCTCTGATTTCTCTCTCTACGATTCACGCATTCAGCACGTAGATAGATTCAACACGTAGATAGAGAATTGACTTAAGTCTATGATTCAGCACCAGCACTATGGTTCAGAATGGCGTTCTCACAGACTAGTATATTCTATGGGCGTTCTCAGCGTTCATTTCATTGTTATTTGACAATAATTTGTCAAACATAGAGTAATATATTTGTCAAATCAAATGTCATTCAGGATTCAGGTTTTGGCGGGAACTTGACCGGCGGCGGTTTGCTGCTCCTGTATTATAGTTTAAATAATAGTTTCAAGTGAAATTTGATATGTAAAAGTGGTGCGATTTTATGTATTAACTGTCTACGCATATGAACTATAAGTGGAAACGGTGAAACGGGTGCTCTGATGGTGATGGTTTCTCAAGATAAGCTGTTTGTTTGCATGGGCGCCTTTAAATACCATCGCCAACTGTCAGCTATCTGCTGGTTCAAGTTGCCGTCAAAATCTCCCAAGGGTTGCACAATATGACGCATCAACATATTATGAAGCAGTGAAATTCTATATATTCAAAATAAAAAAGACAAGGCTGTATGGCATAGTCCCTTTGCCTGCTCTCTCGAGCGAATAATAAAAGCAACAAGCAACAACAAATGTCATTCACAATTGTATTATAATCAAATCAAACGCTCATGGATTAATATTTTGTTGTTAGCGTTTTAAATTGTTTAGAATCAACAACTTTGATGTGTTTTGCATAATGAAATAGAGGTTTACTACTCTAACAAAGTAATAATGGCGCAGCGCTTTCCCTCTGGAGCACCTAGCACAGCGCCGCCGCCGCCGGGTCCTATGCAACCTCAGCAACGCTATCCAGGACCTGCACAGCCTCCAGGATCACCAATGCAGCAAAGACCTTATTCCGGCCCTAATTTCCCGGTAAGAAAACTAAGCATAGGTATGATATTTCAATTAATAGATAAAGAAGAATTGTCATCTACCTGTTATTAAAGTTTGTGCTATGTTTTTTATTATTCAAAAATTATACAAGCGGACTTATGCAGATTTATACTAACCTATGCGGCACATTTAACCTCCAAGCAAATAAAGTACAGGATTACAAAATGAATAGTGTCAAAATTCTAGTAGGATTATCAAATATACTACATATTTAAACTCTCACGCCCCTTATCCAAAGTGTTAGGCAAAGACTACAAACTTGCATTTGGCATGATCCTGACAAACCTTTCTTGCTTCTTTCACATCCATAAAACTTATAGAATATGTTATATGTTAGGCACACATAATGTAGGTATTTTATATCTTTAACTTTTTGTAATACAATGTACTCTTTGATTGCCTATAACTGTATTAATTGCTCTTTCCCATGTCAGTAATCCAAATAAATAAAGAAAATCCTAAATCATTGATAATGGCCTGCTACTATAGACTATCTTTTCTGTTGTTGCTAAAAACAGTGACACACATGGAGTTTCCACTGTTGTTTCTTCTCCAGTCAGAAATAAGTTTTCTCTGAAATACTTGTTTAATTTTATGTTACACACTAAAGCCCTGGATTTTTTTACTTTAATTTATCAATTTTCACATGACTTCTATACTTAATATGCAATTACCAATTATTATGTTCTGATTTTTCATTGATGATAATACATACATCCATAAACACTCACACTGTCACCCAGAGGGGTAGGCAGAGACTACGGACTTCCATTTGGCACAATCCTGACACAAGTCTCTTGCCTCCTTCACATTCATATATCTAAGCATATATGCTCGTCAATTAAGGGTACTCCTAATCTGGCCCATTTTCAATATATCACCAATTTGGTTGATAAACCTTCATCTAGGGTGTCCCTTCCCAACTCTACCATTTACATCTTTAATATAGATTTTCTTTGTCACTCTTTCCTCTTTCATTCTTTCTAGGTGACCAAACCACAACATCATCTTGCAAACCACACTTTTCTCTTATCACACAATTTCTCACCATGTCATTCAGATTCACTCCTAACATACTCCTTAATGACCTCATTTCTACAGAATTTATTTTAATCTCGTGCTTCTTCTGTCACACCCAACTTTCACTACCATACCTTAAAGTAGGGACTGAATTGTCATACATGCCTTTTGTGACACATTCTGACTTTCCACAAAAGAGCGTAGAGCCCCATTCACTCTATTTCCTGTGTTCACTCGTGGTTCCATATCCTCATAATAATATCTACCATCCCTACTAAATATACATCCCAAATTCACAAACACATCCACTTGTTCAATCAACACCCCTTCTTTTATTACGTTACATATTGTCTTACTTTCTTCTCTTTCCAAAACCATTATTCCTTCATTTTCATTCCCTTTTCTTTTAAAGACCTGTTCATTAATGTAACCATCATTTGGAATTCGCCTGCCGACAATGCAAATATGACTTGATCATCGGCTTAGAAAAGGCATTTGACAGTTAACCCATTCTTATCCCACATTCCTCAACTTTCAATGTTTCCAAATAATACATTCTAGTAAAAGTCTAGTTCCTTTTCCTATAATGAAAATGGAAGTTTACACTGAAAATAACCAATATTATTTGTTTCACCCTTATACTCTAAATACTCTAATAAAAATTGTATGGATTTAAATTTATTGAGGTAATATACATAGTAGAGCCATGCTTCAGCATTATTATGGTTGTAGTAAAAATGGATTGCCAGACCTGGGTAAGACCACACACACAGTATACTCACTTAAAATAGCAGCTTAATGCTGCTGTTTCATATTGTGAGTGTAAAGAAACAGAGACCCTTTTACTGGAAACAAGGCATTCCAACTCATTCCTCAGGAGTGACAACGCATCTGCATTTTGATTTTTAATTGAGGATATATTATTTAGATGTCTATGGGTCATAGCATTCACTTACCATCAGGTTGTCTGTGTGCTTGTTTGTCAACCTTATTCTATAAGTCTTAGTCTTATCCGACACTATTCTGATGATATCCAGGACGTCAGTCTGAGCGAGATTAGAATGGCTCTCCAGCACTTTAAAAATGGCAAGGCTCTAGGCAAGTTTGGAATTACAGTGGAGCTTCTGAAAGTGGGTGGGAAACCGGTACTTGAAGTCCTTCAGAAGCTCTTTAATTCCATTCTCCATGATGGCATTACACCAGAGGTGTGGAGCAGAAGTGTGGTGGTCTTGTTCTTCAAGAAAGGTGACAAAGCTCTAAAACGCTCTAAAACTAAGAACTACAGACCGATTTCCCTTCTGAGCCGCGCCTACGTGCTGTTTACGAGAGTTATTACGAATCGTCTCGTGCGCAGACTTAACGACTTAAAGCCTCACAAACAAGCCGGTTTCCAATAAGATAATTTAAAATTTTGTACAGCCGACTTCAATATAAGTTATTTAAGAATAACTCAATAACTATTGGTCTGACCTTGATCAAATTCAAATTTATATGGGACCACACGAGAACTATCAGCTTTCATATAAAAAAAGAATCATCGAAATCAGTTCACCCAGTACAGAGTTATGAGGTAACAAACATAAAAAAAAACATACAGTCGAATTGAGTACCATCTCCTTTTTGGAAGAAAAGGCTTTAGCACCATAGACCATATACATACCCTTCGGCAAATTGTACAGAAGTCCGAGGAGTACAATTTGCCACTATGTTTGGCATATGTGGACTATGAGAAAGACTTTGATTCTGTCGAAATTTGGGTGGTGCTGCAGTCCCTTCAGCGGTGCCAAGTTGACTGGTCGGTATATCGAAGTGCTGAAGTGCTTGTACAGTAGGGCTACCATGGCTATCCCAGTACAGAACCAGAATACGAAACCTTTCCAATTGCAGAGAGGTGTAAGACAGGGTGACCTTATATCCCCGAAACTCTTCACCGCTGCATTCGAAGACGTTTTCAAGCTTCTGGACTGGAAAGGATACAGTATTAACATCAATGGCGAGTACATTACTCACCTTCGATTTGACGACGATATAGTCCTAAGCACTACGCTCAATGGCCTTAACAGTGTTTCCCAACGGATAGGTCTTAAGATGAACATGGACAAAACAAAGATCATGTTTAATGTCACACCTATGCCGGTAGTTGTTGGGAGCACTAAGCTCGAAGTTATTGAAGAGTATGTTTACCTGGGACAAATAGTCCGACCAGGTAAGTCCAACTTCGACCAAGAGGTCAATCGACGGATGCAACTCGGTTCGGCAGCACTTGGGAAATTACGACACATCTTCTTATCAGGTATTCTTCAAAACTTGAAAATGAGACTGTACAACCAGTGCGTGTTGCCAGTGATGACCTATGGAACTGAGACATGGTCCTTCACTGCTGGCTGGATGAGCAAGGTCAAGGTTGCTCAGCGAGCTATGGAGAGGGCTATGCTCGGAGATTCTGTGCGTGATAAACTTATAAATTTGGATATCCACAATAGAATTATTTGTTACAGCAGCCTCCGCCTGCTGTAACAAATCCTCCGTAGCTTCGGCTTGTTGGTCGCCTTCGGCCTTGGTGATCTTTTTCGGAAAGAATCGACGTCCCTACTGACGACAATGACATTACAAAATGGCGTCAGTTTTATTGTAGGATTAGACATAAACAATGCAAGAATAATTGATTTTCAATAACTTTTTTCTCAAAAATTACGCGTTTCCGCATGTTGTAACTTTGTGTGTGTGCTTGTAATAGTGTAACTTTTCTGTAAAAATACGTATCAACCCCCAACTCGACGGGAGTCAATGAAAAGCTAAGCCCTTTTTATTTTTACATGAAGTTCCATTACAATTGGTGCAATCATTCTGAAGATTAGTGCTCATAGGCAGACAGACAAAATTTCTCTAACGCCTAAAGTGAATTTTATTCTGCACAAGCGATTGGGTGGTTATACCCGAAATATCCTCAATTTCACCTTGTCACTATCGATATAACGCTCCGCTAGTGACGTAACCTCTCGCTAATCTTCTTTACATTTGAAGTTAACGAAAAGATAGAATGCAATGCCTTGACAGTTATCTAGGGTGTATTTTATCGGAAAAACTTGGAGAATAAAAAAACTAAAAATTTAAAATAGATGGTGAAAGTAGTTTGTTCCGTCAGCAGCAGCAGCGGGCGGCTCTGGCGGGGGTGCCGGGCGGGCCGGGTGCAGGGGGCCCGGGTGCGGGGGGCGCGGGCGGGGGCGGGCGCGCGTTCGGCGGGGGGCCGCGCGCGCCCGCGCCGCCCGCCGCCAAGCGCGCGCCCGACACGCGCGCGCCGCTGCCGCCGCAGCACAAGCCGCAGCTCTACGCACAGTACGTCCCCGTCCCCGTCCCATACTCTACCTTTTTATACAACAACACTCAAACTACCACATAGTCTAGTTTAGATCTATGTTTATCCTCAATTAAGAATCAACCTACCAAATTTTCTAGAAGGCTTTCCATTTTAGTTCTCAGGGACTAAACTGTAATGCCTTCTTTCCGGTAAAAAGCGTCTCCGGTCCTCTACACTCACTATACAATACACAGCAGCATTCAGCAACACTAATGGGTCACCTCGATCGGGGTAAGACCACAATCTTACAGAATACCAGCGTAAATTAGAAGTTATGTTTTGTACACTCAACAAGTTGAGAAACGAAAATCTTTTTTGCTGGAAACATGGAATTCCATCTTAGTCCTTATAAATAACAATGCATATGCATTTGGATTCTTAATCAAGGATAATCATCTATGGGAAACAGCATCCACTTACAATCAAGTGAAATGTGTGTCAATCTTTTTAGAAATATACTTATCTAAATTACTGCCACTACTCATACAATGGACTTTTGTTATTGTATTTGTTATATATGAATCATCATCATCATCATCATCATGATATATATTTGTGGAAGTATATCTACAAAATCTGCACGTATCCACTACATGAGTAGTATGAACTACACATCAACAAAATTGTTGGTGCTTGAATCTGGTTGCATTGTGTTTCTGTCTCACACTGATATCCTAACCTACTATCAATCTTAAGGCGAGGAATTCCTAAAATAAAAATATTTTAGCGCTCCCTTCTATGCATGCATACAGGGTATTTTTGAAACGCTCCCGAAAACGAAGACAGACGACAATACCAACTAAACCTTTGATACTTAACTTTTTTTTTTTATAGGATAAGGGTGACAAACGAGCACACAGTCCACCTGATGGTAAGAGGTTGCTGCGGCCCATAGACATCTACATCTATCCTCTGTTAAAAATCAAAATGTAGATGCGTTGTCACCCGTGAGGACTAAGATGGAATGCCTCATTTCCAGTAAAAAGGGCCTCCGGCCACCTGCACTCACCAAGCGAAACGCAGAGATAAACCTCTACTTCACGCTGGTTTTCTGTGAGGTCGTGGTACTACCCCGGTTCGAGCCGGCCCATCCGTGCGACAGCAAAAGCTGCCGCGTAGCTCTACCACTGTTAAACTTATCTTCACGCACAATCCCTGACGGGGTAGCCAGAGAGAACAGATCGCCAAGTGTCACGATCCTTACAAACCTCTTTCGCTTCTTTCAGATTCATTATCTTCTTCATGCATGCACGTCTAGGTATCCGAGTACTTTTGACCCTACCCTCTTCGAGCAATTTGCTCACATGGCCTTCGAAAGTTAGTCTCGGTCTACCTCGACACCTTTTAATATTAACTTTCGCGCTATATATTTTCTTCACCATTCGGTCTTCACTCATTCGCTCAACGTGCCCAAACCACCGAAGCACGCCCTTATCAATTTTTGTGATAAGGTCATCTTTCAAACCTGCCATATTGCGAATCTCTTCGTTTCGCTTTCGGTCGGCCATGGTAACGCCGCACATTTTACGAAGAGATCGCATCTCCACTGCATTCAACTTACTTTTATGCTTCTTCTGGCATACCCAGGTTTCGCTGCCATATAACAAAGTCGGTACCAACACTGCGTTATGTATTGCAAGGCGTGCACTCTTCGCTAGGCCTTGCCTTTTGACTAACGCAGTCAGGGCACCATTGACTTTGTTCCCGGCAGCGACACGCCTGTCCACATCTAAATCACATCTTCCATCCCGGCTAAAAGCACTCCCCAAGTATACAATTTCATTTACCTGTTCTAGACATTCCTGATTTACCCATGTTTCACACTTCGTTCTCTCTTCGTCCCTTTCAAATACCAGAACCTTAGTTTTATTAGCATTCAAACGGAGACCTTTAATTTCACATTCCTCTTTCATACACGTGACTAATGCCTGCAGTTCTGCCTCTGATGGTGCAATAAGCACTGCATCATCAGCATACAGCAGACAATTTACTTTAATGTCACCCAATTTCACACCCAAACAACTATCTTTCAGCTTCTGTAAACAGCTGTCGAGATACAGTATGAACAGCCAGGAAGACATGACACAACCCTGCTTTACGCCCGTTTGGACGTTAAACATGGGTGACAGGTCTTGTCCTACCTTACAGGCTTTACAGTCACAGTAAAGAGACTGCACAGCCCTTAGCAATCGACCATCCACACCATACCCCGGCAACAGTTCCCACATTTTCTTCCTTACAACCTTATCAAATGCTTTCTCAAGATCCACAAAAGCACAGAAAATCTTCTGGTTAGCAGCCAGAAGCTTCTCCGTGATCATGCGGAGAGAAAACATTTGATCCGTGCATCCTCTTCCAGGTCTAAATCCGCATTGTGCCTCCCATAGAAATCTTTCCGATTTCTCTTGCATCCTACGTGTCAAAACCTTCGAGTAAACCTTACTTGCTAAACTGGTCAAGCTGATTGCCCGATAGCACCCGCAGTCAAAATGTGAACCTTTACCTTTATATAAAGGCACAATGACTGCGGATCGCCAATCATCCGGGACATCCCCCGTCCGCCAGCACAAATTGCACAGCAGATGAAAGCTGTCCCAGACGCGAGGCCCACCATACTTGACCATTTCAGCAGTAACTCTGTCTAGTCCCGCAGCCTTACCACATTTCAAACTTCGAATCGCACGTTCAATCTCTTTCATCCTGATGACCTCAGTGTCATCGAGGTCCGGGTCTGGCGTACCAGTCACGGCGTCATCCCCGGATCCCTCACTAAGATCATCACACGCATACATTTCTCTATAAAATTCGCTCCATCGCTGCATGACGTCCGATTTTTCTGAGAGGACGTCATTAGTTCTCGAAAGCACTTTGTTCATTCTTAAGGCCGTCGCACCACTTCGGGTCCTTCCAACCTCTTTCCAGAAGAGTTTGGAGTTCTCCTTAAAGTTGTGCGACAACCTTTCATCCGCTTCCATTCTACACCTTTCACGCACTTCCTCAATCAGTGCTTTCGTGTGAACTTTCTGCAGCCTATATCTTTCTTTCATCTTCTCTCTCATATCCTTATCATTACTAGAGGCCAAGTAGTCTAACCATGCTTTCTTCTTCTTCTTTACAGCTTCTTTCACTTCATCATTCCACCATGCATCTCTTCTTTTACTACTGCCTCTTTTTATTGTTCCGCACACTTCTTCCGCTGCACTTACCATTCCATCCCTAAGGTTCTGCCAAGTTCTTTCTACACATTCTTTTCTGCCATCGATGGTGTCAAGCTTTTCGGCTACCCTCGCATGATATTTGTCCCTAGTATCCGCTTCCTGAAGCTTCCAGCTTCGGATGCGACAGACCGACTGTGGTTCTGTTACTGCCGTCCGGTAGCGCCAACCCGCGAACAGACCCCTAAATCTAGTAATCACTAGATAGTGATCCGTTCCCAGGTCAGCACCCCTGAACACTCGCGTATCCATCACCTGTTTTCGCAGTCGGTCATCCACCAGGAACAAATCAATCATACTTCTCTCATTCTTTCGTTCTCTAGTATACATATGAATTTTCTTGTGATTAAACATAGTGTTTGTCACAAGAAGACCCTTTTCCTTGCACACCGCCAGTATAAGCTTGCCAGCATCATTAACCCTTTTATCGCCAAACTTTCCAAGTACCGACTCGTACCCTGGTCGAGCGGTACCAACCCATCCATTCAAATCACCACATACAACAATTCTTTCGTTTCCCCTAGCCAAATCTAGAACTTCTCTTACATTCTCCCAAAACTCCTCCAGATCAGCCCTGGACGACGAAGCTACCGGCGCATAAACAGCCAAAAGGAATAACTTCGTCAGTCCCAATTTAAAGCGAACCCAGAGAAGTCTTGAGTTCACAACCTTATATTCAGTCATAACATCGACCAACCGAGAAGACAGCAGCACCCCCACTCCCTGGCAGGCGTTCTCGCTCTCCGGGACTCCTGACCATAGAGCTAACGCCCCGCCAGGGAGCTCTTCAGTACCACTGCCCTTCCGTTTGGTCTCCGACATACACACGACATCTAATTCTCTTTCTTTCATTATTTCGATCAACTCATTCGTCTTGTCTCTCATGCCTCCTCTAACATTCCACGTGCCAACTCTGCACTCTGTCCTCCACCTTCCGCCGTGTCGGGCTGTGCGTGACGGGTGGCGGTCCCCATCGCCGCTTTGCACGCTGCATTCCACACCAACGGGGACGAGCTGGTGTGCGTCGCCTTGGGGGGACGCCCTAACCCTCGTTGGCATGGGTGCGCAGCTAGTAGAATTGCAGCCCTGAAAAGGGCTGGCAGGGGTCGCGACGAGCACGCTTCTACAATGACCCCTATATATAAACCTTTGATGATAGGTGAAATATAAAATCGATTCTGAGGAAAAAAATATCATCTTTTCACAACGTTTTATTAAATTTATTCATGCTCCATCATGTTAGTAAAGCTAAATGAAACGATAATTTCATAAAAAAAATCATGAAAATACTGAAACATAAAATCAGCAGTGATATTACTGAATTGCAATCAGCTGGCTAGAGGTCAATGTACGCGCGAACGCTGAAAAAAGAACGCTGGCCTTGAACCTGGACAGTGAGTGATTTATGAGTGACTAGTACGAAGGGGGCGCGACGGGGGAACAATCCGCCAGTATTACTGTGCCCGCATGCTATTGGTTCCCGCGCTTTGTTCGCTCCCAAAATACAGTCGCATACACAGCTTACTTTGCGACTAGCGACGATGGTTTTAAAAAGGAAGGAAAGAAAAATGATTTATATCTATTGTTTTATGACTGAACTAGTGAACGAAAAGGTAAATATGATAGGAGAAGGTGAATGGGGAAAATTGTGCAGTAAAGTTAAAAGTGTTGAGGAAGAATACCGAAAAAATTACCATGTGATCGACCTGATGACGGAAGCTCAAGCGAAGATCAAAGTGATGATGAAGTAACATCCAGTAACACCAACACACCATCGATATCTGGCTTCCATGTGACCCAAGACGACATAATGGACGGCATGTCACCCTTAGCTTAAGTTTTCTTGTTACAAACTACTTTATATTTTACGATAGAAATAACAAATAATGCTCAAGTAAACATTATCCATTTTTAATTCCAACCTCTTCTAAAGTTCTAAGTAGCTAGTAAAACACCTATTATGATTCTACAATAAAACAGTTAATTACTATAATATTATAAAACAATAGCCCAATACCGTGTAGTACTTTAGAACGCGACTGTACCCACACTCCCTCCACTGTCGACCAGTATCTAGCTCGGTGCGAAACAATGCCTAACCCGGCCGGCTGGTGTCGCCTCACGCTGTGACGCAGTAGGTTTCAGTTTTGGCGGGGTTTGTTATTTATTTTAGTTTTTGAGACAGTTCCGTGTTGATTTTGTACACGCGTGTGCGAGCGACAGTTCAATCGTTTTGATTATTAAACTCTTATTGTTATTATTTGGTATTACCTGTTATTACGTGGTGGTATTATTCTTGTTGTACGTTTTTTGTTTCTTTTTTGTTTTAATAATACCTAACGCGTACGTTTATAGTGCTCGTGAATACGGCAACATGTTAGGTATCCGAACCTAGGTACAAGAAGTATCGCTAAATTGTTAAGACGTCGGGATGGAACTAGTGTGTCATACTGTGCAGTGCACAAAGTGTTGAAGCGTAACCGAATGCACCCATACAAGTTGCACAAAGTGCAAGTTTTAGTTCCCGGCGATCACGACCGCCGACGAGTTTTCTGCCGTTGGTTATTAGACCAGCAACAACGTGTGCCTGGTTCCATTGAGCACATTATCTGGACGGATGAGTCTACATTTACCAGAAACGGCCTGTGTTTTTAAAAAACGTTACCCCCACACTAGGATTTTCTCCTGTGTCGTGGAGGCAGTTTACAAACATAAATTGCACAAGGACAAACATCCAGACCCGGAACAATTATTTGTAGGCCATACAAATACTTGTTCCGTGCGGGATTCGAATCCGCGGCCCCCAGCGCAACAACTGATTGCTAAGCCACTGCGCTACGGAGGCGTTTAGACAAGTGTTGTAAGTTATTAGGTATTGTGGTATGGCCCGCTAGCTGCGGGCCGCGCGAATTCGCGTTCGCGCGTACATTGATCTCTAGTCAGCTGATATCAATTCAGTAATTCCACTGCTGGTTTTATGTCAGTATTTAAATTTTTTTTTTATGAAATTATCGTTTCATTTAGCTGTACTAACATGGTACAGAATGAATAAAGCTATTAAAACGTTGTGAAAATATGATTTTTCTTTCATCAGGATCGATTTTATATTCCACCCATCATCAAAGGTATAGTTGGTACTGTCGTCTGTCTTCGTTTTCGGGAGCGTTCCAAAAATACCCTGTATTTCTCTAACACAAAGTAAGAGAAAATGTTACTTTACTTAAAATGTTTTTGCTTATTCTGCATAAAAATGATTAAGAATTTAATTCAATAACATACTTTTCTTTATATTATATTTTATGGTTATAGCGTAATAAGGGAGAACTCAAATTTCAATGTTTTTCCACGGCGATTAAATGCTATATTTTTTTTATCTCAATTATACAAAGTATTTTAAAACACATTTGATTAAAAATTTAACTAAGTATTTCATGTACTCATGTGGTACTAAAAAATTTGCGCAGAGCATATTTTTTTAGAGAATATACTATTTAAAGACGTATCAACCCTCAAGCGTCAAAATCGTTTCTAAAATACGCTATTACAGTTCAAGTAGGTGCTGCCTTTGTATTAGCGCATGCAATGTAATTTTACCATTACATGCAGGAAGTAGATGGATGCAAGGTAGCTCAGAACCGTGCTTTCTGGTATTTCTTGGGGGAGGCCTATGTTCACTGCTGACAGTTGGACTTGTGAAACGCTGTAATAATGATGGTGATGACGATGTAATGTAGTACCGTATGGTGGTACATTGGCGCAGGGAGGGGTACGGCGCTGGGGGCGGTGCAGGTGCCGCGGGGGGCGGGGCGGGGACGGGCCCGGCCGCCAAGCGTAAGAAGCGGCTTGCCGACAAGATCTTGCCGCAGAAGGTGCGCGACCTGGTGCCCGAGTCGCAGGCCTACATGGACTTGCTGGCCTTTGAGCGCAAGCTCGACGCCACCATACACCGCAAGCGCCTCGACATACAGGAGGCGCTCAAGCGCCCCATGAAGCAGAAGCGCAAGCTGCGCATCTTCATCTCCAACACCTTCTACCCAGGTAGGTGTCTATAAATTATAACCTATTAATTGCTATAATATATGCTGCGGCTATGTTATGGTTGTTGCACGGATAGGTCGGCTCAGTAGGATAGCACCACGCTGTCACAGTATACCAGTGGTAAAATAGCAGCTTAATACTACTGTGTTTCGTATGGTGAGTGAAGAGCACTAGAGATCTTTTTTACCGGAAACGAGGCATTTTAGTCCTCATGGATGACAACGCATATCTGCATTTGGATTCTTTATCGATAGGCGTAGATTTCTATGGGCCAGACTTTCCACTTATTGCTATTTAATATCTACTTTAGTCACAATTAATTACATGATTAACCTATTTAATGGATGATGATGGACGCTTACAGGTCAGGGCGACAACGCCGTAGCATCTTGGGAACTGCGAGTAGAGGGACGTCTGCTCGATGATTCTAAAAACGATCCCAATAAGGTACTTTTATTTTTCAATTCATTTCCTTATGTATTTAAACGATTTTCTTTTTAAGGTTATATTCAAGAATTTCTTTGACATGTTCTACTGAGAGTATGTAATTTTTGGGCTTTGTTTAGAATTTAATACAGAAAACAAGTCTAATGTTGGGTTCATTGAAATACACATATGTGTACTTGTTGTCAAACTTAGCCAACACATGTGATATTCAATAAGACTTTGTACATAATCCGCCTTATTCCAAAACACGGACTTAATATAGTACTGGAGTTAGTAATATATTTAAACCATAAACTAAGAAAAACGTTATTACAAAACGAAGATTATCTCTGGTTCAAGGATTATCTATGGTATTAAAGTTAATCTTTCGAGACCCCTAGTTTAGCTATGGTACTAACCTTTCTATATAGTTTGTGGTACTCTACTCTATACTAACCTCAATTTCGGTACTTCTTAATTTGAGGTGAGCGTTGTTTTCATTTGGTGTTATTAAAATCGTTAAAAATGGATATTAACATGATTGACTTGATGGATCTAGAAGATTTGGACATGCTAGACACTACTCGGCGACCTGATAGACATCGACATCGTGTGAATCCGTTTGAATTGAGTGACGAAGATTTTAGGTATAAGTATAGGTTCTCAAAACGTTTCGGAGAAAAAATAGTGGGTATCTTACGTGAGGATTTAGTGCACGACCCTCGAGGATGCCCATTGAGTCCTGAAATTCAAGTGGTTTGTGCATTACGCAACTGGGCTCGCCATGAAGTAAGTGCTGTTTATAATCTTGGTGGGGTCAATGTACCTAACATTACGCTAGATAAAAAGCCAGATAATACATATTATTGTTTTATTCGTAGATTCAAGACGATACAGCTGATTTACATGGTGTGTCTCAACCAGTAGTAAGTAGGACATGTAAAAAAGTAGCGGAAATTTTGTCACGGAAGTCCCGAGAATTTATTAAAATGCCTACTACTTTAAATGAACAGCAGGAAACCATTAGGAAATTTCGCAGTATTGCTAATTTTCCTACAGTAATTGGCGCAATTGACTGTACTCACATACGAGTAAAGAAAGTGAATGCTGATGGGGGTCAGTTATATATTAATAGAAAAGGATTTTCTTCAATTAATGTACAGGTAATATACAAATATTTTAAATAGCTGTGATTGTCTCTTAATAACTTTACTTTATCATAATAGAAAATAATTTGTTTGACTATCTTATGGTAATAAATATATATTAAAATAAACCAGAAAAACATAAAGTACTAATGAGCTCTTATTTTACAGGTGGTTTGTGACGCTGACCTGAAAATCATGGACATTGTTACCAGGTGGCGTGGTAGTGTACATGACTCCAGAATATTCCGAGAATGTAGACTAAAACAGAGGTTTGAGGCTGGTGCATTCTCTGGAATATTACTTGGTGACAGTGGCTATCCTTGTACCCCTTACCTATTTACACCGCTGCTGAACCCCACAACACCACAAGAAGAAAGATATAATAGGAGCCATATCCGTACCAGGAACACAGTGGAAAGATGTTTTGGTTTGTGGAAGCAACGGTTTCGTTGCCTATTAAGAGGTATGTTTGGAGATATTGAAACAGCAAAAAAAACAATTGTTGCATGTGCTGTACTACACAATATGGCCATCGACATGAGAGAAGATGTGTTTTCTGGTGAGAGAGATAGCATTGAACAATATTCATCTGAACCTATAGTACAAAGATATATTGCACCATCAATAAGGGGAAATATTAGAAGAAGACAGTTTATTGAAACTCATTTTCAGTAGGTAAACATTTTTTTTTACATATTTATATAGCTATTTATAATTAAAATTAATAATTATATTTATAAAATTGTCAATTTTTTTTCAATTGTCTAAAGCTATGTATATATAATTTATTTTATTTTGTTATTCAGAGGCCAATTTTGGCTATAAAATTACATTAAGGATCAATAAATGTATAAGACAATTATAATAATATTTCTTTTTGATTTCAGAGATAATACCCATTTATAAAGGAAAATATTTCTGCAGAGCCGTTGTCAGCTGTCAAAGAATAACGACTACATATTCACCAATATGAAATAAATTCAGGGGAGTATTGTGATAATATTTCATTTATTGAGCAAAATGCTTTTATTTAGGCTATAAATGATTGTGTTTCAGGGAAAGATGCGGGGTACAGCACATTCCACATCAATATGAAGCTATATTATATAAAGATTTAAGTGCTTTAGAGATATGTTTAGATTTTTTAATAAATATCGTCCCTCCTCTACATTCACAGCCAGATTTCCTTTCCAGAGGTGCAAGGGTCCACGGGGAGTAGGACTGTATGATGACTAAGTAATTAGGTTTAGTTTTTTTTATTATAGTTTTTTACTATTGTATATTATATTTCATTGTTATGTAAATAAAATGCATATTAATTATAATTATTTATTTTAATTATTAATAAAAGATGTACAAATATTTGCAGCAATTTAGTACCTGAAAATAATTGTTTCATATATGAGGATATTTACAAACATGTATCTGATATAGTCTCAAATATTTAGTTTTTTTTATAGGATAATGGTGATAAACACAGTCTACCACACACACACATACACACACACAGTCCATCTGATGTTAAGTAACTGCTGTGGTGCATAGACGTCCACATCTATCCTCGACTACAAATCAAAATGCAGATGCGTTGTCACCCGTGTGGAGTAAGATGGAATGCCTCGTTTCCTGTAAAAGAGGTCTCTCTCATACAAACTTTGTACAAAAATTTATCGAAAATTTGTCAATAAACAAGTTTAAATGTTTTATTAAAGAAAAATTTTATAAAAAGGTTATTATAATATCAAAGAATACATAAATGAGAATATTGGAAATACTGGAATTGAGGTGATCGCCACCATGGTGGTTCTATTAAAATTCATTTAAAAATTGTACAAATAAAATTATTGTTAAGAGAAATATGTTTATAAAAAAGTCCCGCTGGGTTTCTTACTAGTATTTAGTCTTTCAATAAGTATTCTGTAATAATCTATATTTAATAAAAATCATTCTATTCTATTCTCATTCTATAAACTCACCATAATAAACACAGCAGCATTAAGTTGCTATTTAACTTGTGTTTTTCTGACTTTCTAATAAAAATATTTGTAACTCTAATTTTCTAATTTTTAGGTTAGCTATTTTAATATTGTATTTATGTTCCTCTTCCATCATTTCCAGTTGTCTTTTTTTAAAATCTGTGTTACTTTTTACAATTGTTTGGTGTACATCTTCTCTTCTGTAAAATGAAATGGAATACTTAATGTAAGTTTTGTAGTTATTTTAGAAATTTACAAAGTATTCTAGAGTAATAAAAGTGCACTTAACCTTGTACACCAATTAAAGAAATATTTTTTAATTATTTTTAAATCAATTCATATTAAACTTTGCTTTTAATATTTGAAAACATGAAACAATTTTCAGTGTTTAAATACTAATTTTCACATTTTAAAAAGTATGTAATGTATCAGACTATGTAATTTTTTCAACATACCTATTTTGCAAGCTATTTTTCCTGTTTTTAATTTTTGTTATACCCCTAGTAATAATATCTTTATTGTTGGTTATTTTCACCATTTTGGCACTTTCTTCTGTATCTGTAGTTGGATCTATCTCTAAAAATTAATATAAATATAACAGTTTTAGAAAATTAACATTTATAATATTTACAAACTTGTATGCATATGATTGTAACTATAATAATAATATATTTTGCTTTTTAATAAATATTCAATCAGTATTATTTACCTTGCACATATACAACATTGGGTTCTGGATTTTCTACATTTTTAACTATAGCTGTGTCTGTTTTTTCAAAATTAAGGCGAGGCTTAGGGTCAGCAACTTCTTTTGATGTTGTAGCCACAGTCACTGGATCCTAAAATAAATCATTAAAACATTTATTAACATGTTTTCCTGTCACCTGTCATCTCTATTTTGCCCTTTATTGAATCAGGTATTTTCTATGTTGTAGAAATATTATTATGATCCAAGACAAAAGGTAATTTAATAAATTATTAATTATAATACCTAATAGACAAAAATAGAAAATTATAATCGGACTGTGTAGATAATCTAGTAAAATGTGTGTTATGATATTATATAGACCACTATATATGAATTTGTGACATTTCAATTTTGAATATAATTAATTATAAAGAAATTTATGTTAAATTGTTACTAAGTATATTAAATTTTGAATATTCGGAAAATAATTTTGGATTGTAAATTGTATGCTTTAAGAGTAGATTTCAGAGCACTACTTAGGTACTAAAGTAATGGAAAATAAAGTTCTTTAATTTTAATTAAATTTGTAAGACATGTAAGTAATTTTATTTACCACTGCATCACTATCATAATTATTTACTTCAACGATAAAGTCGTGAGGGGCAATGGACATTATTTCCAAGTCCTCAAGAGAAGGTGATGGAGGTTTTCCGCCACCCCCGGTCTTTGATTGTTTCCTCCTATATGTGTATAAGTTTGATTTAGCACACAACTTCGTTCTTTTCCAAGATAATTTCAATTCACCATCTGATCGGCGTTTACCTGTTATCTCATTAAATCTAAAAAAAAATACGAAATCACGTAAACAATACCATACCTATTTGTACACATAACAAATGCGATAAGTACTTACTTATTAGTTATATTCTTCCACTCTTTTATTTTTTGAATATTTACCGATGTTTTTGTCGACTTATTCTCTATTATATGTGCTGATTGTGAAATAAGTGTACGTAATATTTCCTATAATAATAAGAACATTCCTTTTAGTTGAAATAAGGATAATAGGAGGATAAGAGTATTGCTACGTACTGACAAATTTCGATATTTCACTAACTTTTTCTTCAGAACTCCAATTTTCACCCCGTTTTTTCTTTTGTTCCATTATTATATAAATATAACTGTAATAGCAAGTACTTAATTAATTATTAATAATTTAATTTACTTATTATAAGGCTGCAATATAAACTATTTTGAACGTCTCAAATCCCGCGCTCGCGTTACCTCTGTAATTCACTACATTTCACGCTAGAGTTGTTAAACTGAAAACAACTTGATATAATCAAAAGCGCGTCAAAAGTATATGTCGTGCTTGTTCAATAGATTTTAACGTAAACAAATAACAATGTATGATATGTTTTTGTATTGATGGATAATTATTTAAGCATAATTAAATGTGAAAATAATATTAATATTTTATGAAACCGAACGTTGCATTGAATGAAACCTGTATGAACGAATGATAGAGTGTCATTTTTTGTTTTTTATCTGTGAATGATATTTAATATAATACTAACGTTGGTATTAACTGGTCCTCGGGTAGTCTGCGTTTTGTAATAAGCACACGTTTTAGTGCTGGTATTAACTAGAATATTGTAACAAACCTGGACTTCTTACTCCTAAACTTAACCCAGTACTAAAACATTTTTTTGGAATAAGACTGAATATGTTTAACATTATATTGTTTATTTTTCTAAGTCAGAAATTCTAAGTATACTTAATGTAAGACGTGTATTTATTTGGCAGGTGAAGCGCAAGTTCTCGTCGTTCTTCAAGTCGCTAGTGATCGAACTGGATAAGGAATTGTACGGGCCCGACAATCACTTGGTGGAGTGGCACCGCACTCTCACTACGCAGGAGACTGACGGCTTCCAAGTAAGTACACTCCTCGAAGTTTTCAAAATTATTATATTGTTAAGATCTGTGCTTAAAAATAAAAATACAAGATTGTGTATTCCCTTTTCCCACGAAAACAACTACTCAATAATAATAATAATAATAAGGCGTAGGGAATTGACGACCCCATTGCCCGCTGACGTAACAGTTAAGTGACAAAACTGCTATGTCAGCGCAGTCAGTCAGCGCCTTGCCAAGAGGTGTGAGCGCCGTGCCTCGGCAGAACTGAGGGTGCAAAGGCTCGTTTGTGCTTACGGCCGCACCATGAAACGGTGCCGGGCCTGGGCGTCTCCCGTTAATTGACGCCCCTTTAATGGGTGATGGAAAAAAGAAGAGTGCGCAAAGAACCGCTGCCTGGAGGTTGCCAGGGCCCGTCTGGAGTTGGCGCTGGACGCGACAGCATGCGGGCCGCCAGCCGAGCGCGGGGGGCTGCAAGACCACCTAGCACCCGCTCGCATCCATCATCCCCACCAGAGGGCTTGATGTCGGCCGAGTCTTCCCGGACTCAGCAAGCGGCATCCGCCGCTGGTGGAGCACGTCGCATGCGTTGGACGGAAATAATGAACACAAACGCATTGCGAGCGTACTTTAGGGCGAAAGGGGAAGAAACTGGAATGTTGGCGTATCGGGCTCGGATGCATCGCTTTTTCGCAGAGCTGGAGCCATCGGTTCATGTAACGGAGCAAAACCTGGCAGACCGAGTTCGGTATATCCTGCGCTCCAACATATTTGGTAACGCCGAACTCGAACGACTACGACGTGAGGCTGTTCCCTCATCGGATGAAAATGCTGCAGCTGATAATGCGGCGCTACTGATTGCAGAGCAACCCGCACACGTGGATGCCGCCGTGGATATTCCAGTTGTGGTTCATTCAGACGATGATGAAATAGTCTCCCACAAAGTAGAGCAAATGAGGAGTATATTGGAAGAGGCTATTTTGGAAACGCGCAGTACGCCTCTCGAAAATCGACCGCGACTTCCCCGCATACCCCCAAGCAAGCGGAATCGGGCTGTCGTGAGGGCTCTCAACCCAATGCTGGTGACCCTATTTGGAAGCCAGCCGGGACCTTTGCGATACGGACTCAATTCTTTTTGGCGCCGCACTGGCAGTTTGCCGTATTATTGGCGCCAAACTTCCCACGGCTGGACGCGCTACTAGATAAAGTAGCGCCATCCCAGCCTGGAGAAAAAGAATTGAGGACCGTATCTCAAAGGCAAGAGCCCTAATCGGCAGACTGACAAGCTTCAGGTCGGGTAATAATAGACCGAGAATTGTGCGCACCGTCAGGATGGCGTTTGCTGGGACAAATATCAGTTTGTCCCAGCCGGATATTACGCAAAAGCTGACGGAGCTCAGAGATGAACTGAAGCAGAGAATCGCTGCTTGGGGAAAGCGGATTCGGCGATATACCGAAAGGTCGACACGGTTCAACCAGAATCGTCTCTTCCAGAGTGATCAGAAGACGCTCTATAAATCATTGAAGCGACCAATGGTACGTGGAACGGGCCAAGCACATATTATAAGTACTTGCCGGAAGCCGTGCTCGAAAATGACCGTGCCAGGCTCTACTGGGACCGGGCCATCATCACAGACAGGACCATTCTTGCGAATAAGCCTGATATTGTGCTGATGGACCGGGCACAGTCAAGGATATTTTTGGTCGACATTACCATTCCTTATGACGAGAACCTCGTGAAAGCCGAAACTGTTAAGCTGACAAAATATCTGGACCTGGCTCACGAGGTTACCGGCATGTGGGGTGGTCTGCCGACCGAAATTATTCCTGTGGTCGTTTCTGCGTACGGGTTAATCCCAGTCAGCCTCTCGGGTCATCTGAGGCGACTGACGGACCGCTCCAGGCTCAAATGCAGAAGGCGGTGCTCCTCGATACCGCCCGCATCGTCCTCCGGTTTATTTTTACAATTATATATTAACTATTAAGCCACGTGTACACTTATAATGGCCAACCAGATGAGAAAACTTTATAGATACCCCAAAATAATAATAATAATGGCCTCCAGACCAAAGGAGACAATTTCAAGTTGTGGGTACATTCAGCATTTATAGATACTTTAAGATCGATGGAAAATCCTTATGGTAGTTCCGGCTAAATATAGTGCCTGTTTGTGCACAAATGTGGTATGAATACTATTTTTTTACTTGTATTGATTGATTGTGAGTATACATCCCAAATACCATTAAAGTAATATGATTAAAGATAAGATGACTATGGGATAATATGTCCATTTATAATTGAACGTTATGGGAGCTTTTCTGCAGGGCTCTATCCTTTCAGACGTAGACATATTCTTAACCATAGGTGTTTGGGAAATAAACTATTATTTTAAAAAACAAAAGCTGCTTTGTGGAGTGTTGCTGGTAGGGCAGCGTGACGTGATAAGGAGATGACTGTTGAGCGAGTAATGGAGAGGTCAGCCGCAGTGCGTCTCTTATTTTGTGCATTTGTTTACACAACTTATGTGGGCGTATGTGAGACACACATGCTCTATTCGACCAATGAGCGGATTGGAGGGGAGGAGTGCGGGATGTGTGTTGAGTGTAATTTATCATTTATTTTTACAATCATACATTTGTCACACAGTTTATCGACATACAATAATTACTTATAGGCATACAGACAATAATTAACAAGTATACAACAAACACTATAAAGACATATAACAATTCTTCAAATAAAAGGCAATAAAAACATTAATAAGCTTACGTACTAGACAGTTGTAAAATTTACGTGACTAAAACTTAAATAACTACATAGATTGTATTAAAAGGCTGTTATTCACATCAATAATGTCTTAAATCTAAGCTGTTACTTACAATAATATTACCAACACGATATATAGAAAGAAAGATGTTTTTAACTGGTTGTGTAAAGATAAAAAACAAATTATAATACCACTGAATTTATTATTGTAAATCATCATTTCCAAATTAGACACACATAGTGGAACGGACAGACGGGCGCGATGTCAAGATTTTGCATGCCTGTTTTTCAAAATAATTGTACGTATCGAAATTGTAGTTACGAAAAAAGTAACGAAATCGTTGTAATTGTTACTAAATTGTAACTATTAAGCCACGTGTACACTGACTACTGAACTATTCCGAATTATTGATTACCCTACTACGTATACTAAAAAAGGGTTGTGATAAATACTTCTAGAATTATATTGTCAGTTTGTGGTGAAGTAACATTATGTGTATGTGTGTGAATTATGACTACCAACATAACTCCCAAATTATCAATAAAACACCATTACTTGACTAATTTTACTCTTTTTATTTAAATTTATCCAATTTTTTACTTAATATTATTGAAAATAAATCAGATCTTCGTCGCAATATAATACATATTCAACGGGGTTTTCCGACATTTGAAGCATTTTAATATGTTTTACAATTAAATCTTTGGGCACCGTGTCCTTATCATCACGGATTGTTTTACGGAACTTTAATTTGTCTTTTTTACCGATAGTTTAAAAAAAAGATATTGTGTACAATATTTCTGCTACATTGACATGTTCAATTATGCCAACATAATATTTCCAAGAATGTCCTATATAATTTCGTAATAGTACAGTATCTTCTATATTAAATATGTCATTTTCCGCAGGATGAGAGTATTACCACTTTGTTTCCTTTCCTTCATTACTCATCTCTGGCTCTTTCTGTAAATCATAAATCTGTATTTCTTCCCCTCTATTACCCTTATTTACTTGTACCTCTTTATCTGTCTCACCAATCTGATTTACATCCTGCTCTTTATCATTCTTAATCTGTAACTCTTCCTCTATCCCATTAATTTTCATCAAAGCAAGACGTCTTGTATAGGAGCGACGTCGAACGTGCAGCCGACAAAATGACTAGAGTGCGCGTGTCTGATGCGACATAAGAAAAAAAATCTTATAATATGTGTGGTCTCATATAACAACCAATGCGTCTGAATTTCTTATAAGACATTTCTCATAAGACACAAGAAATTTTCTTATAATGTGGAAAAGGACTTAATTTTAATCACCTACCTAGTAATGCTTATCACTACTACTACACCAGTGTATACATTACTTAAGACTATACAGTTTCGTAACATAACGAAAAGTGTCGAAATTGTTAGTGAAAAGTAACGTTAAATTAGTTTTTACATCAAACCGTCAAGTTTATCGTTTAAATGAAAACATATGATAGGATATATCAGTCTGTTCAACATATGAAGCATTAAATATATAATTTTTTTAAAATACCCATAAGAAAAGTCAACCGTTACTCAATTGTTAGAATATTATTTAAGCACAAGGCGTAAGCTTCAAGTCTTGTTTTCTTTTAAAGTCAATATGTCAGGTACAGCTAAAAATTGACCAGTCAGAGATGGCCGAGTGTTACTAGTATATTAAGATCAGAATGCGTTCAGAAAGTGAATACACGATCGAGCAGTTAGTGTTGCTAAGCTTGTATAACCTTGTATAAGCTTGAGCACCTTATTGTTGTCAGTGTTCACAGACCCCCTTGAACATGGGTTATGATACTTTTGAAAAAATTATGGAAGAAGTTTTAGTTAAGCTTAATAAACAGAATAAATCTCTTGTAGTGTGTGGAGACTTTAATATCAATCTCCTGGAAACTTCTTCCACCAGTATTAAATTCTGTTCTTTGTTCAAATCCTATACTCTTAATAATTTATTCTTTGAAGCTACACATATTGCAGGGTGTAGTGCAACTTGTATTGATAATATTTTTACAGGTGTTGTACCAATCAACAAATCAATAATACAAAAACTTAGTTCAGATCACTGTGGACAACTGGTTTCGTTACCTTATATGCACAAAAAACAGGTAAATGAGAAAATTGTGTTTGTTCCTATTAATGCAAAACGCCTGGAGAGATTTATAAGTAATATGTTAAAAATCCTTCCATCCCTTTCTTATAAGAACAATGCAGACTATTTATATAGAGAATTATTT